CTGGTGCCTCGATATGCCGAAATGTACTATTTGCGGCGTCATGTGGGTATTATATATGGCATATGCCATTTTGAAGAAAACACAACACACAACGGAAAGCTCGGCAAGCTTGGTACTAGTATGCCACCTGAGAGTATACGAGCGGAATTGGACTTGACTATCAAATGGCGTTTATAGGCAGCTAGAACGCAATTGTTTCTACTTGACGCCTTCATCGTCGCTGTCGTCTTCGTTGACCTTAAGCTTGGAGAGAACATGTCGGCCGTACTCGGCGAGGATCTTGCCTTGCTCGGCGCTTGCGCAGTATTCCGTGAGCGTCTAGGGGCGTGTCACAACCTCGAGCACGTATTAGAGCCCGCTCTCGGCACTGAGCTTGATATTGATATTGGGCTCTAGATGAGCGCAAGATTATCTGCCACCTCGCCAGTCCTGGCGAGGCTGCCAAATCTCTGGAATGTTCATGGTATCCTGAGTTCTGATTGGTGGCTTTAAAATGATTTTCTTCTTCTGATTGGTTGACATGTGGCTCTCGGCAGCGGCCGGCGCACTTTATCGAGCATACTACCTGTTACAACGAATAGACAGTATCTATTGTTAGAGGTTATCGTGGCGATCGCCCATTTTCGATTGACATGGCCAGCCGCTGGACACGCATCCGCGCCCGACCCAGCTCCCCGCAGTGACAGTGGACAAGGTCTCGGCTGCGGCTCGCGTACTAAGCACCGCGACCTCCGCAAGCACCATCCAAAGCGCCGCGGCAGCGCTGCGGCGGCCCAAGGCCAACAACTCATGCACCTTCACTTGCCGAGACTGGTACCCGCCGTCGCCGCTGCCGACGCGGGTCCAGGTCCAGACGACGACTACTGCGATGCGGTCCATGAAGAGACAATGAACTCGACGAGCCTCTCGGCTTCAATCGCTCCGATCTCAAGGCGCACCTCGATGAGCACTGGCGGCGCGTCTCGGCGACACTTCCGAGGATGTATGGCACTCGTGTGGCCCAGTCGGCGACCTTGGACAAGATCATA